CTGCAGGGAGCAGCGTGGCCCTGCCAGGACGAGTACTCTGGGCTTTGCAGGACTCATTCCTTAGCTCCTGCATCCTGCACGTAAAGCAGAGCTGCGTTTGCATGTGTCTGTGGGCTGCGCAAAGCGGGGGGATGTCTGTTAACTGGATGCTCCTCCTGAATCCAGGGTTCGCCCGGGATCACCGGGATGACATGGTGGAGGGGCTGAAAGCTCTGAAGAAAGGCCTGGAGGAGCCCGACTTCACCGTTCTCTTCCACACCTGCAACAACATTGCCATGGTATGGCCGGCGCAAGCGCGCGGCGCCCGCCTTGCAGCGTGCTCAAGCTCTGCGCTAGCACCCTGTCCCCTTGTCCTCGAGGGGGGCACGGTGGTGGCCTTTCTTCCTGTCACCGCCGTGTCGTGTTCCGACCTGCGGCTCCTGCTGCGTTGGGCAAAGACGCGGCCGTCCCGCGCGTGGTGGCTCCATGCGGTGGCATGCAGGGGCCTGCAGCGGCAGCACCCGCTCAGCCTGTCCTCCTCGCTCCTGGGCAGGTGATCGGCAAGCGTGTGCCCCCCGAGCAGCTTATGAGCCTGCTGCTGGCCATGTTCGACGGGCTGGCCGACCCCGACAAGAACTGCTCGCGCGCGGCCACCGTCATGATCAACGCGCTGCTCAAGGAGCGCGGCGGCCGGCAGGGGCAGCGCCCACTCAGCCTGTCCCCCTCACTCCTGGGCAGGTGATCGGCAAGCGCGTGCCCCCCGAGCAGCTTATGAGCCTGCTGCTGGCCATGTTCGACGGGCTGGCCGACCCCGACAAGAACTGCTCGCGCGCGGCCACCGTCATGATCAACGCGCTGCTCAAGGAGCGCGGCGGCGTCCTGCAGGAGAAGGTGAGCGCCCCGCGCTGCGCCCCGCCATGCGCCGTGGCCCCGCGCCGCCCTGGCCCGCGCGCGGGTTGAGGAGTTCAGAGGAGCTCACTTTACCAGCAGGGCTCAGGCGCCCCGTGAAAGCTTTGCGGGCGCTGGGGGAGCGCGGGGTCCTGGCTGGGAAGCAGGGCCTGGAGCTGCTGGACACAGGAGGCTTTTTTGTCTAATCCGCTGCCTTTGGGGCTAAGCTCCCCCTTGCTCTGCGGTAATTGGAAACACCCGGGCTGCAGGCGCTCCGCGGGCTCTGCTGCGCGCTGGAGCTGCTGCTCGCGCCCCGCGTGCTCCCGCCTCCATGGGAGCGCTCCAGTTTACATGAGTCACCTTTTGGTCAGACCCAGTCCAGCCCAGATCCTGAAACCTGAACTGATGCTAAGCCTCGGCGTCCGTGGGGCAGAGCCGAGCGCAGCTGGGGACAGAGCGCTCTGCTGCTCTGCACTTAATCTCTGGAATTTGCTGCCAGGCCTGGTCTGTGCATGAACTTCCTATTTGTCTTAACGTGCGTTGTCCGGCTCGCAGCGAGGGCCACGGCGTCTCCTGCGCTCGGCTCGAGTTCCTCCGAGGAAGCCGCGTGCCGAGGGCCTCGCTGAACCCTTGTCGGGGCTGGGGGCCGGCGTGTGCCGTGCTGGGAGGCCGTAGGCCGGGGCTCAGTGCACGGGGGTGGCCCTGAGGATGCTCTGCCACATCCCTCTCCTGTGGGACGGGAGGGAGAGCAGGGAGGAGGGATCCCCGCCTTCCGCAGCAGCCTGTGGCACTGCGGGTGTCCTGGGAGCGCAGAGCCTCCCGCAGCCGGGAGAACTGGCCGGGACTGCCTCTCCAGCTCCCGTTAGGAGCCCGGGCTGCAGCAGACGGGAAGAAACATGTGGGTCTGTCTGGAGGCACCGTGTGACCCATGCCCAGGCGCCCCCCGCGCGTGCTGTGCCCCAACCCTAGCTGCCCGCTGTGCCCGCAGGTGCCCGACATCATGAGCATCATCCACAGCAAGCTGCAGGAGGTGGACGAGGAGCACGTGCGCAAGGCGGCCCAGCAGACCGTCTACATCCTGGCCTCGCAGCACAAGAGCGTGGTGGTGGGCAGCCTGCTGGGCAGCTCGCTGCCCTTCGACAGGTACCGCAGCTGCTCCTGGGCTCCTTGTGCCGATATCGGAGCTGGCCGGAATTCCTCGGCTCTCCGGGAGCAGCGCGGCCGCTGGGGCAGCAGAAAAGCTGCTCCTGGAGCTCCCGCAAGCTGAGGGTGGCTGGGCACACGGTGACACTATGGAGGGGGCCACCTCCTCTAGAGCCACCGCCAGCCCCAGGCTGAGGCCCCAGCAGAAGTCAGTTGTCCTCCTCCTTGTGCCGTAATTGCAGTTTCATCCCTCCCGAGGAGGGCAGGCTTGGGAACCATGGCAGGGTCAAGGAGGGGGAGCGGCTGGGAGCGGGGGCCCACGCCGCTGCCGCTGGCGGTGAGTGTCCCGGGGTGCCGCGCCGCCCTCCTCCTCTCCGCGGGGCTCGTGCCAGGCCAGGGCTCTGGAAATAACGCAGCGCTGCGTAATGCCTATTAGAGCTAATCCGCGGGCTCGTAAAAACCCTCTCAGGTGTCCGTCCCCCAGGGAGGCCACTTGCATTTTATCCCTCCAGAAAAATAAACCCAGCTTGGCAGCTCCCTAAGCGGAAAAGCAGCTGTGAAAATTTCCTCCCGCTCTGAAGCACCAGATGCAGATGGTGC